GGGTGGAGGGTTATGTTCGATGGTCGAAGAAATTTGACAGAAAAACAATAGCTCTGCAAACTTCTGACCGCACTCTAAGCTGGTCCTTCTACAAACTGAATGCCTTTTCAAATAATTTAGCTGTCGAGAAGCGTTTTTTGTGAACATACATTTATTCTTTCTCTTCTACCAGATCTCTTTCCGTCTGGCAAAGATGAGGACGCTGAGCGTTGGGCGGCTGTTCCTTGGGACACTGGTATACCTAAGTGGTTTCTCCTTGAGGACAACTCCGGCTAGTGCGTTACATGGGGGTTCGCTGGTCGTCAGGTTCCACCACACGGCAGGAGATGCTCTGAGGAGGGAAGACGTAACGGTTCCAAAGGCCGATTCACTCTCAAACTCTGATTCTATTTCAAAGGCCGAATCTACTCCAAAGACTGGTACGATTCCAAAGAATGAATCTACCTCAAAAACTGGTGCGATTCCAAAGGATAAATCTACCCCAAAGACTGGTGCGATTCCAAAGGATGAATCTACCCCAAAGACTGGTGCGATTCCAAAGAATGAATCTACCCCAAAGACTGGTGCGATTCCAAAGAATGAATCTACCCCAAGGAGTGGTGCGATTCCAAAGGCCGAATCTACCCCAAAGACTGGTGCGATTCAAAAGGATGAATCGACCCCCAAAACTGCTGCGATTCCAAATACTGGTTCAGTTCCAGAGGCTGATTTGACCCGAAAGACAAGTTCTATTCCAAAGGCTGGTTCAATACTAAAGGTCGAATCGACCCCAAAGACAAGTTCTATTCCAAAGGCTGGTTCAATACTAAAGGCCGAATCGACCCCAAAGACTGGTTCGATTTCAAAGGCAGGTTCAGTTCTAAAATCTACCTTGGTCTCAAAGGCTCATTCTGTTTCAAAGTCTAAACCAGTTCCAGAGGCTGATACGATTCCTGAAGCGGGTGCAACTGATGAGGCAGGTTCTGTTCCAACGGTAGAGTCAATAACAACAACAACAAAAACTACAACAACAACAACAACAACAAAGTCTTCTTTGCTATTTGAGAGTCGCATGAACCCGACCAATGATGAGTTGGAACGTAACACTGTCGGAAGGCCAAATCACATTGATAGCTCAATGAACCAGGTCTGGGAGCACGCACCTGATCGTGGGTCGGATACTTTACGTCTCGACAACGTCTGCGGCGAAGAAGCTTGTCCAGGAAGTAACTGTGTGCCTGGTCCATCCCCCGAAAACGGGAGTGAAGATCTGGAGCGTGTAGAAAAATCCGCGGTTGAAAATGGTAACATATTTACCTTGTCCAAACTTCAAAAAGAATTTGACATATACAACTGCACTTGGATCTGTGATAGAAGTGGAGTTGACTGCTCCAGGCGAAACTTTTTAAGTGTACCCCAACGTTTGCCAAAAACAATAAAAATTTTACTGCTGTCCAAAAACAGCATAGAACTTATCCAGCCGTGTGCCTTTTGTAGATACCCAAACCTAACGGGTCTATATTTAGACGGGAATCGCCTGCAAAACTTATCGGAGAAGAGCTTCCAGAATCTAACTCGTCTGCAACGGTTAAGCCTAAAAGGCAACTTTCTCGCAATGAAAAACGGAACATACCCGGAAAACGTGTTCTCTGATTTGAAGTCTTTGAAAATATTGTCACTGAACAACAACACGCCATGTACTACGTGGCCGGAGATGTTTTATCCGGACCTGGCGTTGTCGGCCTTGTCCAATCTGGAACATCTTCGAATAGACGGTCTCTGTAACAAATCGTTTGGGCCGGGGTTCAAGAATTTGAAAGCTTTGAAAAGCATCGAGATGGGAGGAAAGAAGTATGGCTATTGTACTATGAAAACGCTAACAAACCGCACTTTCGAAAATGTTCCAACGATTAAACATTTATTCATGCGCTGGTGTTCGATATACGGGGACCTTGTGGAAGCGGGAACTTTCAAACCTTTAAAAAACCTGGAAACTCTTAACGTTTACGGGAACTATTATCTAAAATTCAAATACTTGCAAAGTTTGATGTGGGGTCTGAAATACTCCAACAATCTGCAACAGTTGGATATCGGTCGAATCGAATCGATGTTCTCCTCGAGCATCATTGTGTCTGACGACATGGTCAAGAATTTTCCAAGAAGCTTGAAAAGTTTGCATTGTGTTGAGAACAAAATTGAACTTCTGGAGAGGTCAGTCTTGTCGAATCTGCCTAAAGGGTTAATATACATTGACGCTAGTGGAAACAACTTCGCCTACAGCAGTTATCTCAGGAATTTGTCCAAACTGGAGAATTTGAAAACACTTTTGCTGAACGGGAAAATTACTCTGGAAAGCCTGCCAAATCATTTGCCAAAGGAAAGAGGTCCCAACTTTTTCTCCAGACACAACCAGAACTTGGCTTCCCCCCGGAAGCAGCTTCCATATGAACACTCCCTGGATTCAGACGAGGAAGAGTTCTTGCTTCCTCCGCGGTTGGTCAACATTTCCTTGGCCTATGCAGGTCTGAAATTCCGTCTTACAAAATTTTCTATAAACCCAAACAATTCACTACGGCATCTCAGCATATGGGCAAACTACTTCCCGTACGCCACAGGGCCCATCGCTGGGCTGAAAAACGTAACGCGAATCGACATGAACGGGAGCTTTATTTCCCACCTTAGTACTTCGTTTTTCCAACCCTTTCCGGAGCTGACACATCTCGATCTGAGCACCAACTTTTTGAGAGATACTTACACACCAGGCAGTAAGATACAACTCTTCAAGCATTTGACGAATTTGAAATACTTAAATCTAAGTATAAATCTTATTCAGCGACTACCCGAGGACGCCTTCGCAGGACTGAATAATTTGCAAAGTTTGGACTTGTCTCAAAATAGCATTGAGGACTTCAGTCAGAACCTTTGGAATATGAGTCAGTTGAAATACCTCAGTCTCAGAGCAACGGGCATTCGTAATTTGAACTCCGACCTCACTCGTTTCTTCGACACTCGCGGCCACAACCTCACTCTTGATTTGTCAGGCTGCCCAGTCAGATGCACTTGCGACAACCTCGACTTCCTTCGGTGGATGATAAACTCAAAAGCTTTAAACAAATCTTTTGAGGGCTACGCGTGTGTTTACAAAGACGGAATTCGGAAGGGTATTCATGAAGGCTATCAGGGTATTGTCAGGTTGCTTGACCGCGAGTGCAGCAATCACTTCCCTCTTTTTCTGTGGGTCTTAGCCTTGACGATTTTGCTTCTGTGCGTCGTGATTGGCTTATTGGTGTACCGGTTTCGCTGGAAGTTGCGGTAAGTTTGTGACTATTCAATTCCTGTCGTTTTGCCTAAAACACGTTTTAAAAAATCAAAATAATGAATAATATTCCTATCACCATGAAGTGCCACATCTTAAGCTCACGAAGGCGATCACGATTCGCCTCTCATTTCTCTGCCCAGACGTTCTAAAAAAAAACAACAACCCACCCCCATAATAATATAATATATTTTTATGATCATTCTAGTTTTCTCTCGTCACTCACCCGCACATCATGCACTTCGATCGGAATTAAATTCTTAAAAATCAAGATTATCGTCGCTGCAATGAGCACACGGCCTACCATTTCACCCGGCTGTAACCAAATTGAGCACTTGTGGGACAGGATTAACTGTGTTACTGTGGGACAGAATTAACTGTGTTACAGGATTAACTGTGTTACTGTGGGACAGGATTAACTGTGTTACTGTGGGACAGGATTAACTGTGTTACTGTGGGATAGGATCAACTGTGTTACAGGATTAACTGTGTTACTGTGGGACAGGATTAACTGTGTTACTGTGGGACAGGATTAACTGTGTTACTGTGGAACAGGAGTAACTGTGTTACTGTGGGACAAGATTAACCGTGTTACTGTGGAACAGGAGTAACTGTGTTACTGTGGGACAGGATTAAATGTGTTACAGGATTAACTGTGTTACTGTGGGACAGGATTAACTGTGTTACTCTGGGACAGGATTAACCGTGTTACAGGATTAACTGTGTTACTCTGGGACAGGATTAACTGTGTTACTGTGGGACAGGAGTAACTGTGTTACTGTGGGACAGGATTAACTGTTACTGTGGGATAGGATCAACTGTGCTACAGGATTAATAACTGTGTTACTCTGGGAGAGGATTAACCGTGTTACAGGATTAACTGTGTTATTGTGGGACATGATTAACTGTGTTACTGTGGGACAGGATTAACTGTGTTACTGTGGGACAGGATTAACTGTGTTACTGTGGGATAGGATCAACTGTGTTACAGGATTAACTGTGTTACTGTGGGACAGGGTTAACTGTGTTACTGTGGGACAGAATTAACTGTGTTACTGTGGGACAGGATTAACTGTGTTACTGTGGGACAAGATTAACTGTGTTACTGTGGGACAGGATTATCTGTGTTATAGGATTAACTGTGTTACTGTGGGACAGGATTAACTGTGTTACTCTGGGACAGGATTAACCGTGTTACAGGATTAACTGTGTTACTGTGGGACAGGATTAACTATGTTACTGTGGGACAGGATTAACTGTGTTACTGTGGGATAGGATCAACTGTGTTACAGGATTAACTGTGTTACTGTGGGACAGGATTAACTGTGTTACTGTGGGACAGGATTAACTGTGTTACTGTGGGACAGGATTAACTGTGTTACTATGGGGCAGGATTAACTGTGTTACTGCGCTCGCCAATGCCTGAAACAACATTTTTGAAGGAAGACTTACGCGCTCTATGAGCAGGAGGTGCCCTGAAGTGTTGAATGCACCTGAAGATCGCACGGCGAACTGATGTGTGACTTTTGGATTTTGCCCCTATGGTCAAATTTCAGTCACAAAAGAGAGGGTTTAAAAAAAAAGAAAAATAACTCTTTCACCTTGATTTATCTATAGAATACTTCGTATCTGAATTTATTGATTAAAAAAAGCATCAATTTTCTACAGGAAAGGCGAACGGGTCGAACATATTAGTGCGGTACCCTTTTTTTGATCGCCAGAAAATATTTAAGTAACCATTTCAGTCTTCTCTCCTCATCCATCCATTTCTTGAAGTAAGCTATTCACGGTCAGCCCCTACCTCTTTTATCTGTATACATGCATTTTTATTTTTTTAAAAAGAGAGCAAGATGTCCAAGGCTTTTATATCGACCCAAGTGTCCCAGAAACTGCATTTCGTTACCCCAGAATTACACATTTTTATCTAAACAGCGCTTAGTTTTGATAAATTGTGAGGCAGCGTGGTGGAATCAGGCTCTCGTCAAAATAATCAAAATGAAGAAACTTGCATTTTCCCGCAGGTTTGTGAATTTTTATCAATTTTTTGTTTTTTTGGCTCAACACCTTTCATGCCCATTAAAGAACTCATTTCTGTGTGGATTTTTAATTTTAAAAAACAATGATTAAAAACATAAAAATGTAAATTGTCAGTTGACACGGACTCTTAAGCTAAGGAAATAACTAATCTTTGACGGCCATGTTCTCACTAACTTTACCTCTGAAAACAGGTGACCCCCACCTCCTTCATTCGCAAATATCTCGACTTGTATTCAAGATAAATGGATACTTTTTTACCCAAATAAAGACAAGTAAACAAGCTTTAAGATGATACCAATAACTCTACAAGTCCAAAAATTGACGAGAGCGTGATTCCACCACGCTGCCTCATAATTTGACGTCAAGCACTTTGAGTTCCACAACTACTCAAGCTTTTTCGAATGCAATTCTTCGAATATCTTGATAATGACTCCGAATAATCTTTGCGATTTTTTAACAGAGCAGACAGAACAGATTTTTTAATTTTCTATCTTAGTAACTCGAAACAGCCAAAAATATCCGATAGAACTTTGTAATTCTGAGCTAACGATTTGATTCTTCCTAGGAAGTGTCTACGTACTCCCCGATTGGGGTCTGCATAGTCATGGTGTCTAGGTGGACCCCAAAAATGTTGGATTGTGATTGGCTCGCTCGCCAAGCGAGCGGTAGTTTACATTGGTTACAATGCAAGGCTACTGATCATCTTGGGCGGTGTGTCGATCTAGTGTTACTATAATTTATATATTTTAACCCAGAGAGAGAGTATTTAATGAGTAAACGTATCTAGATTTAGAATCTAAATCTAGACCGAACTGCACACTCTT